GGTTGTCTTTTAAATGAATAGACATTTCAAAAACATGCTTCTAGGCCACCAGAGGTATGGCTCCTTGGTGGTGCTCAGACTGCAGATAAATGACCTCCTCTCAATTCACATCATAAGAACTACAGAGTGAATCTTTTAATGGTTCAGAAAAAGGGGAGATATTAAAATAAACTGCCTGGTAAAAAGCAAAATCTCATAGAAAAATAATATCATAAGATCCTATGTGAAGAAATCAAGCATCACAACAAACTAATTGATGAGAAACAGAAACCACACATGAACAGACAGCATGAAAAATAAGAGACAGAAGAATCTTGTCTCCTAAAAGCTAGCATCATTTTTGACCCCATAAGAAATTAGTAAAATGAAGACAATATTTAATAGTACACATATTCAGTTTTAAGTATTTCATATGTTTTAGCAAGTTACCATTGCCACAATGCAATTCTCACCCTAGGGAATGGATGAGGATCATGTATTTGGTAAGTAATGCTGAAATTGCACTGAAAAAAGTACACAAGGAAAAAAAAAAAAACAAGGAAATGTGTGCTGATCCAAGACATGTTCCATGTCGACTGTATGCCAGAGGCAGCTGTGTCAAAGATATGTGTGCAGATTTTTGTAAAGATGTCATCAATTAGTGAAATAGCACCAAACTGTGCTATGGATCTACAGAACAAATCAAATGTCAAGGCACTAGATAACTTACAAAGCAAGTGTATGCATGAAATAGTGAGGTTAGAGAAACAGGATAAAGAAGGAAAATTAGTAGTTTACACTCATGTATTTTGCCCAGGTTTTAGTCATTCTCTAACAAAAAAAAAAACAAACCAAAAAAAAAAACACCAAAAAAACCAAAAAACCCCCCAAAACAACACAAAACAACTTGTTTGATATGCTACAGATGTGATATTTTAATAGCAATTTAAAATAATTTCAGTCATGTGTTCTTCAAACTGCATAAGTGAAGACTCAATGGCACTTTCTATAGAAATTATTGTTTTTCACTTTGAAGGGAAAAACCAACAATACCCCTTGCCCCAAACATGCAAGTGAGTGTTGAATGTGTCTTGTTCATGCCTAAAGTCTCATTTCCCCACCACCAGACTGCAGAGCAGTTACACAGACATTACCTTCAGAGTAAAGGAGAAATTTTCAAGTTTCCACTGCAAGTCTTTGTTGAGGTTAATCTATACACTTACCTTTTTTAGGCTACATAAATTCCCTTCAAAAGCATCATAACCATTTATTCAGAAACACCCTTTACTACATAACTGTAATAATTAACACACAAAAAACCACCACCAGCAGCCTTATTAAACATGCAATAGGAATAGTTTACCTTCCTATGGAAGTTCAGCCCCTAAAAAATTTTCCAGAGGTTTCACACCATCCTAACACATCTAACCCTGTGCCAGCAGCTCACATCCCTGCTGTGCCAGCAGCTCACATCCCTGCTGTGCCCCATCACCCACTGTCCCAGGGGGCCTGGCCCAGCCATCTCCAGTGCCCAGGGAGGCCCTGCGGCCACTCCCAGCCCAGCCAAGAGTCCAAATCCCAGGCAGAGCCTCCACTGGAGTCTCCAGGATGTATAAAAGATTCCTGGAATCAGCATTGAGCTGCAGAAGCCACAACCAACAGGAGGGAACTGTTGTGCTTACAGCTCTCCAGCTTCAAGCAGCCCAGAAAACTACAATCACAAACTCCCCTGAATTTTCAATGTGGTGTTTTTAAAGCTGAGAAAAGCAAAATTATTCCTGTTGCAGTCATCCTCTGCCTCCTGTTGTGATCTATCCCCTGCCCTAGAATGTACATTTTTTCTGAAGATCTTTTTCATCTCTGTTTCTTCATAGATCAATATTTCTTATCCATATCCACAGTCTCTTACCAAACATCAACCCTCTATCCATCTTTTTCCCCAGCAGATTAGCTCTTACCTCCCTGAGAAACTCTTCATCCTTACCCCTCACCTGGCACCTCAGCTGGGCATTAAGAGCAATGAAATCAGTGGGGCTGAGCTGGTTGCTGGCAGCTGTTAACCTCTCCTCTGCAATGGCACATAAATCTGCAGCTGGCATGCAGAACTGTGTTTCTGAAGAAAATGGGTGTTCATAGGAGCATCTCTGGAGTTCTCCCCTCTCTCTGTATATGAGCTTCAGGGAATACAGAGGATGATGTGCAGAAAACACAAGTGCAAAGGGACATGTAGCAGATCCCAAGAGCATCTCCCTGGTTGCCCAAGACTTAACCCTTGTTTGGCTGCCCATGACCCCCTACAGAAGCCTCCCAGGTTGCTCCCCCCTGCACTGCCCTGCCCACAGATCTGAGGGAATTTAGTCTCCCCTAAGAGTCAGGGTTTACAATTCCAGAATTCCTTGAAGCTACAAAACCCACCCTGCTCCTCCCTCATGACAAACAGCAGCCTAGGTCAACGCCTGACCAGGATGTTCCCACCAGCCTGTTGTCCCTTCTGCAGCCCTTACTCCATCCAGCAATTCAAGCCATGTCTTTTACTCCTCCCTGGCTTTTCCCTGGCTGCTTTGTGTGCAGGCACACAAGGCAGGTCCCCTTCAGCCTGTACCATCCCCCACAAGGCTGCCCCACTCCCATCACCCTGTCCCATGTGATCAGAGAAAGGCTGAGAGAATTGAGATTGTTCTGGGAAAGAGAAGGCTTCAAGGTGACCTAAGTGTGGCCTTCCAATACCAAGACTTACAGGATAGATAAGGCAAGGCATGTAGTGACAGAACAAGAGGAAATGAGTTCAAATTGAGAGTAGGTTTTGATTAGATATTAGGAAAAACTTCTTTACTGTGAGGAGGGTGAAGCACTGGCAGAGGTTGCCAGTGAAGCTGTGGTTGCCCCATCCCTGGAAGTGCTCAGGACCAGGTTGGATGGAGCTTTGAGCAGTCTGGCCTGGTGGAAGGTGTCCATGCCAATGGCAGGGGATTGGAACTGGATGATCTTCAAGGTCCCCTCCCCACCTAGGCCATTCTATGATACTCAGCACCACCAAGCCCTCCTTTACTTAAGCACAAGCTGCCATCACCACTCCCCCACAAAGTTAGTTTAAAGCCCACAGAAAGGAGCAGCTGCTGGGCACTCCCTGCTGCTGGGGCAGGGTTTCAGGGCCCCTGTCCCACTCCCCACCCAGCTGTGCACCTGCCAGGAAGGTTCCCAGAGCAGAGAGGAGCCTGGCCCTGCCTCACCTGCTCACTGGCCTCAGCATCTCTAGGCTGGCCATGCACTGAAGGCTGACAGTGACCCAGAGCTTCTAGAAAAACACAATGTGTGTTTTTGCAGGGCTGCACATCTCAGGAGCAGAACACCAGGAAGCAGCACTGCTGCATCTTCACTGCTCTGCAAAAGCAGCAGCATCTTGTGGTGAACTACTGCCATGGCCTACCTAGGAGTACAAAAATGACTCAATTCTTGCTATTTCAGGATTACTGATTTGCACTTCAAAGAACTCAATCACAACTTATTAGAATAAACTTTTATTTACTGCTTTCAGGATCCTTATTTTATACTTTAAAGTATGCAACAAAACCTGCTACATTCAAATCTATACAGATTTACTGATATATCATTCACGTTTTACAAAACTGCATATAGATTTGGGAAATTTGTATAAGTTACCTTTATTTACATGTAATACTCTCAGTCCTAATGACCTAGTCAAAGGATAAAACAAAGTGGGATTTTAAATATCCCTTAAGACCCATTAACATTTGTTACATAATTTACATATCTTCAGAGAGATGTGCTACACTTCCTTCTTGCATATTTATAAAGACTGTGACTAAACAGAAATTTGGTGGCCAAAGCTAGGTACTGTCATTTCCTCAGATCATATTGGTAATAAAATGTTAAAATTTGAGCAAGTCAGGTATATAAACCAATTTGTTTTCCTTCAGAACCAACTTTGCTAATAATTTTGACCAGCACTTGCTCAAAAAAAAGTTAATATTAATACAAAAAAGACCCACATTTACAAAAGAAATCAAACTAATATTTATATATGACAAGTTGATCTACAATAAATTGCACATTGTTGGTTATGACTTTGGTTATATTGTATTAACAAATTTGGTTTCTAGACTAACACTGGAGAAAAAAATATAAAAATGCAGCTGTAGAAACTAGCAACCTGTAAACATATCACAGAACCAAATTCTGCACCTGATCAATGTGCATAACCTCCATGCAGTTCAGGAGTTTGCACATAACAGACTGCTGAATTTGGCCCAGAAAACCCTGTAAACATGTTCTTTATTGTTATGTAGTGCAATACTGCAAGAATGGATAATAAAGGCCTCTAACTATCAGTAACTAAATACTGAGTGATATCCATACAAATTTCATTTTAAGATTGATTTGTTGCAAAAGGCTGAATTGAAAATATTATCGTTCAACTACAAATTTATCCAAAATAGTGATGAACACTCAATAAACCAACATCAGTATATAAATTTAAACAAAAAATGGATATAATTTCTCATTAAAAGTCAGAATTATGCTGCTTATCTGTTTTGTATAAAAATCTTGGGTTTGTTACACGGTTTTAGCAAAAGCAAGTTAGAAACAGAAGCCTAACAACTGTATCAAGTCAGTGTTCTGCAAACAAATGTTTTCCAATGTTGTATCTAATTTGCTGAATTATAAGGTGCTTTGGGCAGATCTGTTGCAAAAAGCCTGAAGCAGCACAAATTATGATATTGTAATACATGAAGTTTGTTGGTTTTTTTTTGTTTGGGTGGGTTTTTTTTAAAACAGTTTAACAATTTCATTTGCTTCTCTTAAAGCAGCAAGTCAAATTTAAATCCTCTGCAAAGATTTCTTCACAGCTTTACTTCAGTAGTTTACTGCAGGACAGTCTCAAATACTGTACAAGAGGCAACTGCTAAAAACACTTCAGTTTTTTACTTACTTGGCACTGGCTGATCCAATGTGTATATTGCATGTATCAGCAAATACACAAAACTATGGAAATGACAAAATACATTTTCAAAAGTTAGTGATTTTTAATACTTAGTTATTTTACACCCTATGAAGAGTCAATAGCCATGTGTCTAAATACAATGGTAGTCCCTGGAAAATTCAGATTTGTTTGTAAACCTTTAAAATGAAATTGCAGCACTGGACCAACATAATTTATGTCTGTATCTTAATCAACCCCATCAAAACCCTGAGTGTTTTCAATAGCTAGAAGAAGTTTATCCCATAAATCTTCAAACGAGTCATACGGAGGCAAATCCAAGCGATTAAAGCTGAAAAACAGATGAAAACTCTTAAGTATTTTATCACATACTAGAGGTCATAATTTATCTGAATTAAAATACTCACCAGGTATGAGCTCTTGGCAGTTTTTCAGGGGTACCCCACTGTTCAACTGTGAACAACTGTGGTCCATTTGAACCTGAAGAAAAGAACACATCAATTTTCACCCTATTATGAAATCCTTTTATAATCAGAGATACAAATGATGACCTATTTGGGGATTTTGTAATCCAGGGCTGACATCTGAAGGAGCTATCTATATGAATAAAATACAGACTATAGAAAGTAATAGTCAATAATCCCAATTCTCTTGTATTTTTTGCTATACCTCAGTTTCAAGAGACTTCTACACCTTCAGCTCAGAAGTTTAAGACCTAAATGTTTATGTATGGTAGCTGGCATTGAAGTTTTTATACTATTTATACTTTATACTTTTATAAGTATCACAAATTTGTATATTAAATTGTAAAATAAGTTTTATTATTATGAATTTTATACTTTTTTATATTTTTATAAATTTTGCACGTAAAAACTTAGACATGTTTATCACCATGTGCCAAGTTTGATAAGCTGGTAGAAAGTAGTCAACGCACCTATACAGCAACAAAAACAGAGTAACTGAGAACTTTTGGAAACATGGCAATCATATGTGTACTCCCAGGATGTTTTTATGCACCTGAGAGAACATTTTCTGGCTAGCAAAAAAGGCCGCAGCTCCCTCTATCCTTCAAGAACTGTCTTACAGCATCCTCAATTCTCACCAAGCAGACACAAGGAGTATTTTATAACTGTTTCCTTAAGCTGGGAAAAGTCTGCAGTTAAAAAACGAGGAAGACAAAAGCTGCACTATGTCAGAGCACGTCTGTTCAGGGTGCCGGAGCTCCAGCACGGCTGAGTTTGCTGCCGAGCTGGGAGCCCCTGAGGAGAGGAGCCACGAGAGGGAGATCTCGGCCAGGGAGCGGCTCCAGCGCTGCCGGCGGGCGGGGAAGGGAACGGCCCGGCAGCGGCACAACGCTGAAAAACAACGTACAGCTCTTTCGACACAAGGTACAGGAAATGTCATTGTCACTGGGGTTTGGTAAGGATGGCATGCTGGCCACAGCAAAGCAGAAATAACTGTACGAGAAACAAACAAAGCACTGTGCAAGATAACTGCTAGTTGAATTTTTCATTAATGAGTGAGTGAATATAACTACAGAAAACTGCTCAAGTGTATTCTAATCCCTGGGCAGAAGGAAGCCAAGAACTTCGGCAGTTTCTTCCCCTGTATCAATTCTTAGTTCTGTCTCTAGCAGTGTTCTTAGATAAATAAGCAGAGCTCCTGGGGCAGCAGAATTCTGACTGGGATCCCCTGTGATGAGCAGGTGCTGTAACCCCAGCAATGCCAAGGCTCAGGTGCAGCAGCAGACACATGGCTGAGCCTGCTGAGCACACTGCTCTTCCCACTGCAACTCACAACTCATTTACTGACAGAACAGAAAAAATAAACCAAGTATCTCAAGCTACATCAGGGAAGGTATAGGTTGGATATTAGGAAAAAAAAATTTCAGAAAGAATAATAAAGTACTGGAATGCTCTTCCTAGGGAGGTGGGAGAATCACCATCTCTGGATGTGTTTAAAAAAAGACTGGACATGGTGCTTGATGCTATAGTCTAGTTGAGGTGTTAGGGCATAGGTTGGATCAATGATCTTAGAGGTCTCTTCCAGCTTCATTATTCTGTGATTCTGTGATTTATAATGAAAATGAAGACATGGAGAAATGGGAACACAAGACAGGTGGTTTTGTTCACAATCCTTTTGTTTTATAAACAAATTAATGTCCTGTTTATAAAAAGGAAATGTTTAATCAAAGAGGCAAGTTAGACTATTCAGTCATTTGCACAGCATCTCAAGCACTTTTGGCCTTAATAAAGTAGTCTAGCAGAAAACATAATAGCTGATGGCAGCTGAGAACAGACCTCCCCTAAGCCAAGCATCCCCACCCTTTGTGGGCTGCTCTATCTGCCTGCCCACAGTGGCTTTTCTGGCTTTGCTATTGAAATTTGCTCCCTGCTGTCCTCTGCTTGTCTCAGTCTCAGCATTGTAGGTTCAGTACTTTTCTTCTGACTTTATGCTTAACTCATGACATTTCAGTGGTCCCTTTTGGAGTATATCCTTACAAACAACTGCATCTGTACAACCATGGCTTGTGAGCAGATAAAAGCAGTTGTGGAACTGAAGTTAACTGCTGATGCCAGCATGTCTTTGTAATCAGATCTTGGATAACTGAGAATTTTCTTCAAGCTCAATCATGTGTTAAACAGGGATTTTTGCAGCTCTTGAGAACTTTAAAAATCCACATTCATTTGAGAACTCCTATACATTTAAAAACTTCAAAACCAGAATTAGACCAATATGCTCCCATATAGTACATGGGAAATGTGATGTAAGTGACTCTTCTCTAACTTCGTTTCTTATAACTGCCAGTACATACTAAATTTTAAAGCAAAATTTGAAAAAAAATTTGACAATGTCTGAAGTCAAGCATCAGGTCAATGTTGGTACTGGGTTCTTTGTTACTTAATTGTGAAGATAATCTTAAGTACTCACCATAGAGCTCAGCAAACCCATTCATGGGAACACGTGATGTGCCAGTAACAAACTGAAGTAATCTTATTCTCTTTTCAGAGTCCATCATTAAGACTGCCTATGTATGACAATGAATACAATTAAATATTTCTTTTTAAATTAAGGTTTTAAGCTAATAGATTTATGCAAAATAGTATCTACCTCTAAATCATTATCTATGAAATACATATGCATTTTTCTTAGAGACACACACAGTCTAATTCATTGCCTATTGATTAAAGCTATGAAGTCAACAATTTTTTAATGGCACTGTAACAAGAGTATGGTTACTGGCTTAGCAGGCTGTTAAAATGCTTCCCTTGAAGATTTGGCCCCCTACTTTCTTTGAAGTTTCTTATGTTATGAACTAGAAGCCAAATTCCTGTAATTTATTAAACAGAAGAGTTTAACACCTCTTTAGTGTAACCATGCCAGGAAAACCTACACAAATAGATTTTTAACCCCAGCCAGACAGGGATATTTCTGAAAAAGCAATCATCAGTATTGCATTTACATTCTTACCACACATCTCACCTTTAGTTTTCTTACTTTCTCAGGAATTTTAATGGTCAGATAATATTTACCTAACCTTTTAATGAATCAAACTATAAACTAGCAGAAAGGCAGCAGCTTTTGAACACATTTTCAAGAAGAAAATATTAGAACTTCACGATACCTTCCAGAACCACTGTATTACTTGATGGTTTATGTTGTAGCCATTTTTGTACTTTGTGTGTAGTTTCCAATCAGCCACGTCCACATCTCCCAATCCACACATTAATAACTACACAGATAAAAAAACCAAACAAACAACACCAAAGTTTAAGTCAGTAAACTAAAGTTTCAACATAATTTGCTCTCTTTTCCACGATACACCTACCTCTAGCTCATTTTCATCAAAAATTTTAATCAAATCCTGTGGTATTAGTTCAAAAAAGCCCTAAAAAAGATGAGGGAAGTTTGTAAAAATCAAGGCAACATTATTTTAGTTTTTAGTCAAGAAGAAGGATATTGTGAGGCTTTGGTAAACACAGCCAAAGCAATATATCAAAGACAGATGTTTGGACACCAGTAGTCCTCAATTTCATTACAGTACTTTTAATTGATTTCTCACAACTATACTGTGCAACACTGAGTGATGAGTATGAAGTCTGAATATCATCTATGTAATACAATTGGTAGAGAAAAGGGTAAATTGCCTAGTTTAAATCAAACTAATATAATTAAATTAAGTTTAATTTCTGCAGAGGTCATTAAATAGTTTGCTCTGCAGCTAAAGCTGTCAGTCAGGATTGAGAAATAAGCAAATTTTTCAAGATTAATTAAACACCTCAGTAAAAACATACCAAAATATTTTTAACTCTGAAATAATTCAAAGCTGACACTACAAACAGTATCGCTGTCTTTTCTAATACTTTAAACAAAATGATTAGTGAGTCTTCAGGGTGTCCAAAAAATATCAGATGCAACAAACTCTTAGAAGAATGTATTTTGTAATTATAACTGTACCTCTTTAAAGGCTGTCATTTGTTTCTGTACTCGGCTCACAAATCTCCACTGAATTACAAGACTGCAAAAAAATAAAAACCCAAACAAAACCACATTTAAAATAAAAGTGATTTACATACAAAGCAACAACTTCCTTTTGTAAATAAAGCTAACACAGAGCCCCTGTGCTAGAGGGCAAACCAGTGAGGTACATTGCACACAGCAGCCACTACTCACTGAATGTAGTCTCTCTTGTTCTTGTTGGTGACAACTATTTCTGATCCACCACTTTTCAGTTCATGTTGATGGGTCTAAATGCAATGCACAGAACGGGTCTTAAACAAGGTGAATATATAACAGAATTCCTATGTTAACATTAGATAATTCATACAACTCTTTAAGACTGCAGAATTTGAGAACTATGAGAAACAGATCCAGCCACACAGGTCACCTAATAAATAGAATGTGGTACATTTGAAAAAAAAAAGATGTATTATTAAGGGGTGCAATGGGAAACCTCTATTTTGTCTGATCTGCTACAGCACACCACCCAAGACTGCACACAGGTTCACAGTAAGGCACACTTCTCTAACTGCATATTCCATGACCCAGCCCTCACTCCAAAGCTCAAGGAAAAATAATTACAGAAACCACTTCAGCAATCATGCCAGTAAGTGAATCAATATACATCTCTGTTACAAAGTGACTTATACTGCTAGAACCTCAGAACACAAATATCTCAGTTATCACTGATGTACATTTTCATTGCTTCTTCTCAGGCTCACTGCTGTTGCACAAGACCATAAAGGTTATTATCCTTAGATCTAGCTGGCAACTGCAGTTTGGAAGTTTTATACAAGACCTGTGGTATTTCTATATGACTTATCTTAAACAGCTTTGTATGCACTAACAAACTTGTTTATTCTATAGGTTTCTAGTACATCTTAAGAGAAAGGAAACATGTTACATCTCAGCAATTCCTGCATTTTCCAGAGGAACTCATCCTTTCCAGCCAATCACATAAACCCAACCTCTACTCCAGATCAAATCATGGTCTATGGATATCTTAGTTTTGGCTGCCTTCACAGCAACAGCTACATTTCAATGCAAGTAGTATTCAGCAAAAAAGCAAAAGCAATTTTTTAAAGCTCTGCTCATTTCCAAGTCCTTTATCACAGCAGGCTGAAATGCACTCACCACATGAGTGGAAAGAGCTGAGTGAGTGAAGGAGTTTTCTTAACATCATGCACATAAAATCCCCTAATTCCACAGGACAAGTATTTTCTTCCATGTTTTTTCTATTCCACATTACATGAACATACTAACCTGACCAAAAAGTTCTTCATCAACTATGAATCTGAGGTCCAGTTCTGTTGGATCATTTTCAAGGATCCATCTCAAAGAATTGTAATATTCACTATCCTAAGAGAAAATTACAAAAGAGTAAGTGCTAAATAAAGTAGCCACCCTATAAACTGCAAGAGGTTCCATGGCAGCCCAGTGAACACTTCTGCCTAGGGTAATCCTATACTGGACACAGAGACACTGCAGTGGTACAAAGCTCTGAAGACCTTTAAAACCTGATTGCTCAGCAATCCTTGTAAATGTCCTTCTATCAGGGAGTGTAGTGAAGGATGAGGAGGGCAGATCTAGCTCAGATATTAAGAAATTCTTCCCTGTGAGTATGGTGAGCCACTGGCACAGGGTGCCCAGAGAAGCTGGGGCTGCCCCATCCCTGGAAGTGTCCAAGGACAGGTTGGACAGGGCTTGGTGCTACATCCTTCTAATGGAAGGTGTCCCTGCCTTGAACCCAAACCATTACATCATTCTAGAGCACCAAACAAAATGAAATCAAAACAAAAAAAACCAGGACACATCTATAAATCTATTACTCAGAAACAGATAGCAACTACATGCTATAATCTTAAAGGACAGCAAAACCAGTAACAGATTAAAAAGACAGAATAAAAATCACTTTGCCAATGAGCACTCTAGATAAGAGCCATTATCAGGGAACCAACCAAACAAAAAAAGGGACATGTTTCTCCTCTAAAAATGTTACATTGTATAGCTCAATTTTCAGTCCCTAAAAATTATTAATTTTTATAATCAAAGAAAAAAAATTAAAAAACAGGTTAAGATAGGAATCCTGAAAGTATTTATATTCCATTTTAACAATTTCACTGTCTAAAACACTTTAAGAAAACATCACAGAAAGTTTAGGTTCCAGTTTCCAAGACAGCTTAACTGACTTGAACCTGAGTCTAGGTCTTTGATTTTCATTAGAAGTTTTAATTCCTACACAACTTACAGACTTATAAAAGATGTAGCCTAAAATATCTTTGAATTGTGCATTTTCAACCTTCAACATGTAGATTATAGATATGTAGATATTATAAACAGATATATCCATAAAAATTATAAATTAACATTAGATTTGTCAACATGATAAAGCAAATTACATACCACAGACTCCATATCATGTAGTGTTATTGGTTTTTGGAGCATCATCTTGTAAAAAGGACGAATAAAAAAGGCTTTAAAGAAGAAGAAATAAATTTAACAGATATAACTTAGGACTCAAAACACATGCAAAATTAATCTGAATATCCCATGACGTAAGATAAATACTAACCATCCAAAAGTTTGCCATGGTAAACAGCCATTCCAGCCACACGACCTATAAACTTGAAATAAGAGAGATGATCTTCATTGCAAAGGCCAGAGTTCGGATTGATCTGCAGAGTATAGTTATCTCTGAAGAGTTGAAGGAGGGAACAGGGAAGAGAAAGAAAAACAAAAATGTTGTACTATTGGATCAATCCCACATTTGAAGATCTGAAAGACATCACTTATGAAATCAGTTATTGCTTTTCATGATGATATCTAATATTAAACAATACACAACAGAAGACTATTAGGGTATCAGAAACAACCACCAGGAACTACCTCAGTAAGTTGGAGATAAACCAAAGAGAAGGGATTAACTCCCATTCATTTTAAAGCAGAGTAACATTCTCTGCATTATAGTTATATAGTGTCTCTTCTGCATGCAGGAGATGGTTGCAAGCACATGCTTGTCCATGCAAAAATGCCATGGCTTATGTTAGGATTGCTGTACAAAAACCCCACAATATTGTCTCCACATTACTCTTCTGGCAAGCAACTGGGTGCAGATTATTGCAGTTATTATCAACTAAACCCTCTGGTACATTTGCAAGGGCAGCAGGAACCCCATTTTTAAAGAAGGTACAAGAAATACAATTTCTTTTCATAAGTTTTCACATCATCCAGAGCAGTATTACTTACGTAGCTGAATATTCAAACAATCCATAATAAGGATTAAACATTTCTTTAGAGAGAAGGAAGAACCATTCCCTGGCAACTCCTCCATAGTCTAAACCTTTTTCACCATCAAATTCAATCCAAAGTCTTGCTTTAAGGAAATCTGCTCTCTTTACAGCTATGATTCTTCTGTAAGAATCTTCAAGGATTGTTGTGCGATGAATTTTCATTTCAAACCTATTTGGAATATCACTCTAAAAAAGAGAAATATGAAAACAAAGAATAATGAAACAAACCCCAGCATCTTAAGAGTTTTGCAGAACATGCAAATTCTGAAAATAGACCAAGAGAGCACAGAAATTGTTTCCTTACTTCACTTGGAAACATAACAGAGTATGATAGAAAAGAGGCTCCATTTATCTACAATTCAACTAGCAAAGAGAATTTTAGATGCTAACTTCTATTTCATGCTAAGAAAATACAGTTAAAAATTCTCACTAGTAACAGCATATGGGCAGTTGCTCTGCATGCAGCGAGGCATGGAGTCTCTTCTGACACTGGACATTTATCATATTACACACTTGATTAAAAACAGCTCACAGTTGACACATAAAATTATCTGGAACCATTTTACCTGACTTACTTCACCTTGTAGTTCTATATCCTATGAGCCTAGGTATCCTGTTCTCTAACTTGAGACAAAATCTACAGTTGTATTTAATTCTTACACTACCACAATTGTTTTGTGTGGCTGAGCTCTCTATCTCAGATTAAGATACTGACATTTGAATGAATGTCAGTCCTGTTTTACTGGGAACACAAAAAACAAGGTGTATGTATAATTGTGTGCAACTTACATGCAGCTCAAAGTGCACAGGCAGACTTGGCAGGTAGAAAGCAAAGCATGGATCTAAACTCAAAGGTTATTATATATGTAAAATACCTCCCAAGGATGTAAAATTTGATTGAACTTGAGCCGACTCATTGTTATCTGGCTGTCCAGATGCTATTTACAGTCTTTTATGCTACATGTTATAAATATACCTGGCACTGCCACTTCCAACTAGAGTTTGGAAACAAGATCCATAAACTTCAGATTTTAAGGCTGTAACAATTTATTGCAGTCATCCAGAATGATCATGATGACAGTAGAGATTTCTACATAGACAGACTAAAAGCTATTCTGAGAACTTTCCATATTCTGACTTTCAAAAACTATTCCATGCATGATTAGTGATTTCCAAACTTTTCTGTTGGCAGTCTTACTTTCAGGGTCATGACATTTTAACCTTTGAGAATTTCTGCTTTTTAAATTAGATTGCTTACAGTCTTCATCAGTGTATAAAATCACAAACCCTGCTGCTAGAGCAAATGCTAATTGTTATGAAGTTTGTGCTTCATAAACATATTTGTGATCAGACAGTAAATTTACCTTCCCTGTAAATTTGGTTAGGGGCCTACGTTTCATAACCTTCTGCTGGATTCCTACTGATTACTGACCTGTTTCTTCAATTTCTTTCTGAAGAATTCATACTTCCTCTTATAGTCCCTGGAGTAAGGCACAGCCTTTGGGGGGGGGAAAAAGAAAAAAAGTCTTGTGTGTCTTGTGAAACACAGACAAGCCATTTAAACTCTGAGATAACAGGAATACATGTTTTACTGAGTGCCAGGGGAAACTTCCAGTTTATAAACACAAGGAATGAAAAGCACCTCTCTGTTCAGATCAGATCCACAGAATTCATGCTGTACTTCCCCATTAGCTCAGGAACTGCCTGAAATCCCTGAGTGGCCCAGATCAAAGTGACCAAAACGCCTTTGGTGACGTCCATTTCCCTGCTGGATCATGAGAGACCTGGCTACAAACACCTCTATTTTCCATGGACAGGGAAGGTTGTTTACAAATGCAGGCTATTAATAAACACAGATATCAGCTGAACACTAAAACCCATCTATAATTATAATGTAAACCATCTTTGCAATTAGTTCTGGTAATTTCACACTACAGATTAAATATTGAGGCTGGATAATTATTTTCCAGTTGAAAATCAATTTAATTCCTTTTGAAGCCCTTTTTTTTCCCCTTCTTCTTTCTCAAATTTATGTCATGAATTGAGCTAGTGTGGACAAGAAATAAATAAGACTTCCTTACAGACTTCAAAGCCCTCCTCCAGTCTGTAAGAAAACTTTCTTACTACCATGGGAACTGCTTTTTCTTTCTGGCATTTAAAGACCATTTCCCTAGAAAGCTCTCTAAACAGTTTTTTAAAAGAAATAAAATAAAAATGCTTTGTTCAGACACCCTGAAAGTTTCACTTTCTAGACTAACTGATAAATGACAAGAGTTTATTTGGATTCTATTAACAGTATTTCTGAAAAACATGAAAATGTGCATTAGGAAATCTTACTGGTCCAGTTATTGCCACATTCTGCAGTCGAGGATCCTCCCATTGGGTTCTCTTCGTATCTGCAAGAGATGTTTTAATTAGTTCCATTAATTCAAATAATGGTCACAAATAAAATGATAAGTAGGGAAGAACACTACATTGTACATACTGTGGTTTATGAAGAATATTCTTCCATCTGTGTGAGTTCTCTCTTCCCACCCTGGCTGTAAAAAGACAACATTTTTGTTACGCCTTTTTATTACATTTTTATTATAAATTTCTGATCATATAGTTTGCATAGAACTCAACATCATGAGCAGTTGAGGGCATTCCTCTCCCATCTACTGTCAGCACTGAAATTCAAAACAGTATCTTTTGTAGGAAAAAAGCAGGCTGCATTTTCTCATGTGCAAATTTCAATAATGCTAACTTTAATAGTTAAACTGTTTCATCTGCAAAACAAGTACAAAATGGTTTACTTACTGGTAATGGGCCCAGGTCAACTGGATCTAGGGAAGTCTTTCTCCTTGGATGAGCAGAAATTTTCAGTCTTGGATCTTCCTTTGAAAAGAAAACAAGCAACATGTTAAAATCTTTTTGCTGTTTTGTTTTGCTTTTAATTTTTGTTTTGTTTTTATTAATAATTTTGTCAAGAATATGCCTAGTACTAATTAAGTAATGGTTACATATTTTACAGCCAGAGGAATCCTTGCGGATTCTCAGTCCTCCACTAATTTACAATCATCTTCTAGTAACCTCTCACTTTATTTTATTTACATACATATAAATCCTTCATTCAACTCAATTTTTGTGTAATTGAGTTGAATTACTCTTTCCACACCATTTCTGACACACCTTATACTTTTTGGGTTTGGTGAAGTTTTTTGTTGTTTGGTTGATAGGTTGGGATTTTTTGTGGGAGCTAGTATGAAGGTGGTTGTGTTAAAGGAGTTCTTTTTGTCTGCCTGGAGAAAAGAATATCCATTTTGAATCAATTTCATGCATTTCTCTTTCCCTTTCACCTGCCAGTAACACTGACTGACTCTGGAGATGCTTAAGCCCATCTAGCAGCACTGCCAGTGGTGTGCAGTGCCCCTGTGTGGAACTGCAGCTGCACAGCTCCCTCATCCATATGGCACTTGCACCTGCTCTGCTCTCCTAAGCATTCACAGGGCACATTCCTGTTGTGCCCTGTGATAAATTCAAGGTAATGGATTTGCTGTTGAAGGTATATTTACTGAACTCATTTCTGTGAACACCTCCTATAAGCTACCATAGTTCTGCAATGACATTTAGGAGGGATTCACATCTGCAAAGCAGATTCCTGTTTTCCTCCTTCCAAGCTAAACTTTCAAGCACCAATACAATTAGTAAAATTGATAATCTTCTATCCATGACAAGTATTATAACTTGGCATTTTTATTACAGATCACTCAGACTCACACAGAAAATTTTGGGTTGGAAGGGACCCACAAGGATCATGGAGTCCATCTCCATGGCCTGTACAGGGACTCTTTGTTAGCATCCTGATCTGATCGTGCTCCTGAACAGACAGACCCAGCTATCTTGGCATTAAGAAACACACGGAAGCTTGCTGAAAGCAGCCAAGTTTTGATTCAAGAGGAACTAGAATTTCAGTTCATGAGAACAGTTTTGCATTACCCATGTTGTAGTTTTGGTATTGTGGTCAATAAAGAAAGGTCTCCCATTGGGTGCATGTCGGACTTCCCAGCCTTTAGGGAGAAATCCTTGCTCCATTTCAGGCTGCTGCTGAGAAGACTGTTGTGATGAATCACTTGCTGTTGCTTGTGGCTGTCTTGCTACAGAAACATTTGGTGCAGCTGATGCCTGACTTGTTTCCGCAGCAATCTAAGGAAAATGATCAAAAACATCCTATCAAATCAAAGCCCTGTAAAGCAATATCTTTTTTCCAATAACCTGTATTTTGACTGATGAAAGCAGTTGCATAAAGCAAGTCCCTGACAGATTCCATGGTATCAACCACACTGACTAACAATCACTGATTGTGGTGAAGGCTTACAGAAGCTTTCCAGCCTCCTCAGTCAGCTACCTCTTTCCAGAAGGGAGAGTGACTGCTATGAACATTACTGTTGCTAACTCTCTGTGCAATCCCTCAGTTATTTTATGTGGTACTTTACAGTCTATGCCTTTTGTACGTTCTATTTCAAAGCCATCCCCACTTCTATTACACAAGATGTTTCAAAGGCTCAATGAATAAAAACATCAGCAAATTGAAGACAGGCAGTACCTGTACAACTGGTTTTATCCAGGTAGTGGTTCTAGAATTGTGATCTATATAATATGACCTTCCTTTTTCATCTTGTCGTTCTTCCCAGCCTGGGGGTAATCCAGATGAAGTAGGCAGTAACTAAATAGTAGTGATAACAAGACAAAAAACAATTAAGGAAACTATGAAACTTACTGTGAAAAGGTTTTCCTCTGTCAATTTAAAACAACAAAACTATATTCCAGAGGTTCATGACTTTTATGAGCTGGATAAAATAGATAAGTAGTATTGAAGTCCTTTCTGAATAGTATGAGGTAACAGATTTTTGGTTTTTTGTTTATACAAAATTCAAACTCCTCATGTTAAAGGATTCATTTATATACCTGGTTTAGCCTGATCCAGCCTAGTACTTCTGGCTATGAGATCACAGTTTACAGTGTCACCATAAAAGCAAAATGGAATGTGGTATAGCTTTTAATTAGAAGTAAACAATTAGAAGGCAAACCATTTGAAAAATGAAACTCATATCATCAGGGCAAGACTACTTCCTTCTGCAGGCTATGCATCAAGATAATGCTAAACAAAGCTGAAGCGTGGAAGCTTTACAGCTGAACCAGACCCATAATGGCCATTTTGTCAGGACAGCTGCTGGGCAAGGAAGGCCAAATCTCATTTGAGATGTCAGCAGCTAACACAGCTAAAAGCCTGTGTTTTTTGAAAAATGACTTACCACTGGATGTGCAGGCTGCTCTTCAAGTCTGTATGTCTGCAGACTACCTCTTCTGCTGGAATGGTTCTTGAAGGAGTGGAGAGGAATGACACATTAGCTATTACTGCAGCTTTACGGATGGCAGCAAACAGCCAGCAATGTTTATCTCACTTCAAGCTAGTACAGCTTCCATCCTGAGCAAAGTGTTGTATTTATTTCAAAACACTATTTAATATCGTATTTTTCAACCTCTTGTTTTAACAGCTAGAAACATCAAGTTCTCAGAGTCTATTATAATCTTAGAATGATAGAGGCTTGTGAAAGTTCAGAATACTCTAGCAATAGATGTTTTGGCACGTAAAACATTAATTACAAATAGTTACAGAACAATTGAATTTACAGTATAGAACTTTTTGTGTTGTCAGTAAAGTCTGTCATAGAGCAGAGCTAACACAACTTTCCAGAGAGTAAATTAGGTCAATAATGAAAAAGTATGAGAGTCTGAGATAATCAGTTTGAGAAGAGCAATTAAATCCCTAGACTTTGCCTAAGTGCCCATCTTCCTGCCCACAGCCACATTTAGATCTCACTTGCTACTTCATTAGACACCTGTATTTCATTTTGATCCAGAATTTCCACAGCTACTTGAAGGATTTCTCCCTATCCACATACTACTGAAGTACTTCAAAGAAAAAAACATTATTAACTTTTAAAGGTTTTTTTGGTGGGGAAGTGGGGTGTAATGCAGGTGAAAAAAGGCAACACTACCATTCTAGCTGACTCTTGCAAATAATTTGAACATCTGCTTCTTTCTTTGCTCAGGCCACCCAAGCAAGCTGAAATAACAGTTTCTTTGCTACCCATTGAATGCTGAACAGCAGAGATCAAGTAAAGTCTTGTTACTTTCACTTGACTGTTTCCAGCAACACTAGTGATACATTTGTACAAATTCAGATAAACATTGTCAATTCCAAATTTACACTAGGAAGGGCATTCTTAACATCACACAAGCTAATGATTATTTCAATACCAAAATCTAACAGACTAGATGGCCTGGGTCACCTCTAAAGGCTTTCCTCAATGGACAGTGGATTTCTCACGTCACATATCAGGTTACAAGGCTGTTTGTGGAGCTCGGGTTTCACAGGACAGCTGAGCTTATTTAATTGCTTGCTACCACACCACCAAAAAGTCGAGTTTCACCCTGGCTACATGCTCCTGCTGTTTTCCCTCTGCTACTGTAGCATTTGTCAGACAATCTAGCATGCTGTTTCACTTGTTCAAACGGCAAAAAAGCAGCGCTGGGGAAAAGAGAGCAGTTTTCTGCTGGGTTAGCAAGCTGAACAGTCTCATGTAGAGGTCTGGCAAGTTCCACAGCTGGCACAAGGGCTGTGGAACTGTATGAGCAAGCTCCCTGTTTTGCTGCTAAGGAAGCAGCAGGTTTACACAACCCAATCATAAAACCTTATCCCAATATTCAGAATGAAAAGTGGTCAATCTTTGAACTTTTTCTAATTGGAAAAGTAACTCAGATAACACAACTCCCTTAGAAATAAGCTTTCAAGAAATAGATTTTTCATTCGTAGTTCTCAGCACTCTACAACACTAGACCAAGAGGTAGATTTACAGACTGAAAAATAGTTCACACACATCTGTTTTAACCTCAGGCAGAATTCCATATAAGCAAAGCAGAGACGAAGAAAATGCTTGCTTAGATGGGATTCTACAGCAAAGAGACTAATCTTAAAGTGTGTGCATTTGAGATGAAATTAAAAATATAATTCCTAAATAAAGTATTCATGGATCTAATTCTATCAGAACAAGTAGCAAAATAATTTACAGTGTAGGCTGCTGACTGGCCAGTAGCTGGACTTCCAGAGGTAGTAAGTCTGTTACTCAATTCTTCTGCAAGATGACTCTGTATATCACAGCTACTCTGCGAGAGAGGCATTTGAACATTCTGATTGCTGTACATTGTTGCCTCATCTTCAGTTATAATTTCCCAGCTCTTTAAAAAGAAAACAAAGGGAAAACATTTTTAACAAGTAGTTGCAAGTTACAATTATTTAAGACAAGCTTTCTGAGTAGGCTAGATGAAAACCAGCAGCTGCATTTCAGAAGCACATCAGTTGAGCTGCACTGCTGTACCTCAGGGGAATCCCTGTTGTCGGTGCTCTCGGTATCCTCGGATATCTGTCGCCGGTGAGTGAACACGTGCTGCGCCTCCAGCTGCACGCTGCCAAGGTCTGCAACAGCCACGCTGTCCCTGCAGGGCACCGTGGGACAAGTCAGCTCACAGCAGCCTGAGTCTATCTTTCAACAGTAAGCCAGGCTAACAGCAAAAGCATACATCACAGTCATTCTGGCAGAAGAAAAAGAAACAGTCTGGACGACATAAATTAATGTAAACTGTTTGAGATGAATAAGCATTTATGCAATGTGAAGTGTAAGCTGAAGAAACAGGTAGCATTCTGGGGCGGGGGGGGAAACAAAAAAAAAATAAATAAGGCAAACAATTTTAAAAAGCCCTGATGGAAGGAAGAAAACAGGCTGAAAACTGAAAAATTATTTAGCTTCCATTCCTATAGTTGTTATCTCTCCAGCTACAACCAGTTTCTATTTGAACACATACTTCCAGAGCACAGTACAGTCACAGTGATCACTAGCCAGTGACCACTGCATGAGGGCTTCCAAGTGAAGTGAGAGAAAGCTCTCTACTTAATTTTCAATCTGTTCACATTTTATTTCTCCTTGCTTTCAATGTAACTAGGGTGAATTACACTAGCTAATATAAGACTAGAATTTGCAGGCTAAAAGACTTACTGTACAGTTGGTCTTTTCCACTGTGTTCTTCTGAATTCATGATTGACATAGTAGGTCCTGCCGAGGATGTCTTGTCTCTCTTCCCAGCCTGAAGGCAGTGGAGGAGATTCCTGCTGCTGCTGCTGTGGCTGGCTAGCAGCCTCTGGTTGGTCCAATATAATCCATCCAGGCTGAAAGACATAATATAACTACCTGTAATACTACAGGAGTTGAAAAACATCTTAATTTTTCAAACCACTCCCCCTTTTAAGGTGTAATTCGCCTTAAGTCGGTAAATTTTACTCCTGTTTTAGTGTGTTTATTTATAAAAAATGACAGGGCATATTATGCATGCAGAAATCTTATTTTAAACACAAGATCCTTAAATATATTAGTACCAGAAGTTGTTAATTCCAGGAAAATAAACAGCATTCACAGAATAGATTAAAAGCTTAAACATTGTCATTTCGTAACATGCTGCAAATGTATGAGGCAGGTGAACACACCCTTCTGGAACAAAGTTTAATTACAGCAAAGCTGGCAATGCTAAATAGAGTTAAGTCTGGAAAGGAAATCCATTAATCTACATTGGATGTGTTTAAAAAGATCATATATGTGTGGTAGGTAAGATCAAAATGTCCCTATGGATTGGAGAGAGTTGAAATTCTAAAACCAGAGAGATGTTAGTGTCTGCCTGGAGTCAAAAAACATTCAACAGTACCTACAACAGAAACCTCAACACTTATTAACTGGTGTGTTTCTAAAACACTATTTATAGCTTAGTGATTCCTAATATTCATTTTTCAGCAATAAACACATTTTTCCCACCTCTAATTCTTCAGCCTGTTCTGTGGTTTCTTCTTCAGACCCATTGTTTTTAGGTAAGTAAGTCATTTTTAATCTAAGGTGGCCTTTGACTCTTGATTTATGGCTGCAGAAGAGAAAATAAAATTATCTTATTGTGCACTTGTAGAACAAAATAGCTAAAAAAGCATAGCTAGAGGATTATTCTTAAATGCTCCAACACAAACTTGACTTTCTATAATTTACATTAATAAAGTTATATAATAGCATTAAGGCTTCAGACTTCTGAATGCAGTAAGTATTTAAAATAATGCTGACTTTCTAGTAGAATATAAATATCTTAGAAATGGCTACCCAAATTTCTTTGATGGAAACAGAAAAATTTAGAAAATGCATATGTAGTTACAACTAATGACCTAAGAGCTCTATTTAGATATAAAAATTAGAATTTCCATGTGGTATTTACCAACCTTCTTGGATGAAGAACAAAATCCTTAAATGTATATGGCCTCTCCATACTTGGATTTTCTGTCTGGAATAAGAATTTTTTTTCAAGAAAAATCTTTATCAAGCACTTGAAATCAAAGAAAACTATCAGAAATTTCCAGTTATTTCTTTAAAGGCCTTATAACATTTTAAAACTTAAATTGCAGGTTCAGGTACAGTAACAGCAATACCAGCTTTAATCTTAGCAGTAAGACCGGTTCAAGAAAACAACAATTACCTTTCAGTGTCTATGCACATTACAGAATGAAACACCTGCTCTTGGAAAGGGTTTGCCATGGTTGCTACCCTGTTTGTAAGATAGTTTCTGATAAATCTGTTAGTATCTGCTAATGTTTTGAGACTTCAGAAGAAAATGGACAAGCTTATTTATTTCAATGTTCTTAGTGATATTTCTTAAAAACTGATTACCTGCCTTGCAAAAGGATTACAAGAAACAAAAAAACTGGCCAAAGCAACAGTAGCTCTATTTCTCACTTACTCTCTTTTTTGAATCTGTTTATGTGAATAAGGAACAGTAAAAATAAATTTACAGACTTTAAAGAAATATTTTAAGACATGACAGTAATTACAATCTCTTCTTATCTTTAAGACTGTAGAACTACGGAAAAGCTAAAAGCACTGCAGTATTGAAAAACAAGGTAACCTATGCTGTTTAAAAAATAGCAGCACTGAAAAACCCCAAACCGATCTACAAAATAAAACAAGGAACCCACAGAGCAGGAGAATTTATTTACTTCTTACTAGTATTGTTAACTTCCTTAGATGACTAATAGAGTGCATATAGAAATATTTTTTCCCTTTCATAGTTTTAAAAACAAACAAAAAATACAAACCGGTAACTGATAAAGAGGAATATCCACTTGTCCAAGAAAATCATCTCGAGTCTACAGAAAACAAAAACAAACACCACAGAAAGTTGAAAGCTGCAAAGTGTTTTAACACCATTGTCCTCCACACCCTGATAGCACACCAATGCTTTCTTAGAACCTGAAGCCACTTTTGAATTATAGGCAATAACTTGTTCTGTACAGAGCAAGCGTAGCATTCACATTCTCTGAACAGAGAGATAATTCTCTCTCATAGTTTTTTTTCCTGAAGAAGCAGAAAGAGAAGAACAGAAAACAATTCTTATCTCTACTTGCTGCTCCTGTTGTTTTTGCATGTGTGGAATGGGTTAGGAGGATTGTTTACCTGAAGTGATTTGTCAATTAGTTTCTGCTGAAGATTGTTTTGTTTCCTCAGCCACTCTCAAAGCCGTGTCCTGGCTGTCTGGAGACAGTCACAAGTTTTTCTTTAGTATTCTTTGTAGTATAGTACCTCTTTAATGTACTATAGTATAATGTAATATAATATAGTTTAATAAAGCAATTGCTCAGCGTTGTGAATCAATGGAGTCAGATGCCAATCATTCCCTGCTCAAGGGTCACCTTGTTTACTATAAGCAAGTTCTGATTGACCCAACACTCCGAGCCTTGGACAGTTCTGCCTTCCTCAAAACAAAATTTGAGGGATCTGGAAGTGGAGATTTAGACTGTTTACTGAATTATACAGGCTAATGTTACCAAAACAGGAGAGTTGGTCAGCATCAGGACTGAGACTGACAAAATCTCCAGTAGAAACATTGTCCTGAAGGACCCTCCCTCCTAGGAGAGCCCAACAATTTCCATAAACCTAGGCAGCTGTTTCAAACAGGCATGTATAAACATTTTCTTCTTTTCCAAATCATACAGCTACTGTCAAAGCTAACAAGAAGCAAAAGTAAGTGCAATCTGTGGTAAGTGCTTTGGAAGTTCCAGTAATTCCAGTGATCCCAAGCTTGGCATGAAAATCTGTCAGAACTATGAAAAAATGCCTTCTGTCTACACACTTTGCAGAGTTTATTTTTAACAATGACCATCCACAAGATTTTACCTGACCTGGATGTCTGGACTGTCCAGCTAGGACCAGACCATGAACACAGCAGCTGTCAGGCCAGGGCAGGGACTGACAATACATAACTTCACTGCACACTTGACTTTCATCAAGGATTTTTGCTTGCCAAAAAAATTACAATTTCAGTAATCTACACAGGCAATTTCAGTATTCACCAATAATCACCACCAGCAGTGCTTTACTTGACTTCTTGCTGGATTACTGGAGCATGTGCGAAGTTGCTTCAAATTAATTCTTGATTTGAAAACCTTTGTGAACCTCCACAAAAGCAGAAAAATTATTGTAAGGGTCATTTAACATAAAGACATATTGCCTGTGGAATAAACTCAGGTCAGTATGGAATTTTTTGAAGGTATGTAAAAGCTTATGACTTTAATAAAAAACCCCTACACTACAACAAGACTACACTTTTTTGCAAAGACTGAGTAAGGAGCTGTAAAAGTCTTCAACTCTGTAGCTCGTGCAACCTCTGAAATTCCAGGCTTCCTGATTTTTCTAGCTAGCAAAAAATTTGGTGTCTATTCTTTCCTAAATCTGTTGTTGCATTTATTCAAACCAATCACTCCAGAATTTTAATGTTTGTCCATAAAACTTTTCACCACAAGGCTCTGCAGCTTGCTGACATCTATTTCCTTCACCTCAGGGCAAAACCATGTGATCCAATTTTCTTCTGGAAAACTTACGTTCATTTGCAATTCAAATGTTTTACAGCCTTAAAATTCCAGCCCGATCCTATCAGTTTTTTGGTCCCTCTGACATTAAAGCACAGGTATTTCTTGAAGCAGTTCTTTTTGTCTTAGTAATTCTGGTACTTTTTTTTCCTTAGCTCTGTTGTCCTAAGTTCATCCATTTAACCTTTAAGCCATACATGTATTTGAAGAATCAGTGTCTCTCTCACATAAGCCTTTAATTTTTACACCTGCAAAAAGCACAACTAGATTGTCATAGGTGATAAAACGTAGACATTTGGAGATATGTCACTTCAAATTAAGTCTGCAGCATGGAGATGCCATAAAGGGGACAAAAATGAAAATATATACAAAATATTCACTGTTTTAATCCACAAACTTATTTGAGACAGAAAGCTACAACAGGTTTCATACCTGTGGAGGCTTCCCTGAACTACTGAAGGAACACTTTCTGTGCTATTATAGACCACAGGACTCTGGAAAAAAAATAGTTATCATTTTTGCCTATGAGGTTCTTTTTTAAATGGCACAGCACATACCTTAGACATGTTAAAAGGCTTAGTATTTGTAAAGTTCTTGGCAATCCTCAAGTGGAACATGCCTTCCAAATAAATTATTGGAATGTGGGACAAAAGTTTGCTCTATTTTAGAAACCCTCAGAACATTGTGTTTGTTACCAGCATAATTTGAGTGTGGACTCCTGTTATTCACTTTATTATTCTGCTGTCTCTCCTATTTTTAGCAGAGTTAGCCTCAATAACCAACTCTTTAACAGTACTTTCTCCTCCAGCCAGAAAGCACAACCCTGAGTGGAGATTTTTGTTGACCTCCAAACAACTAAGACATAAATCAGATAGCAGGAATGATCTCCAGCAATGTGTCCCCCATGACAAGCTGACTAACTGCCTGCCAAGAGGTGCCAGAGCAGCAACAGACACGGCACACAGAAACAACTAAATGCCAGCCGAGCTGAAACTGTTTGGATCTCTGTTTCATCAGAGCAGGCAACACACACAAGTGGGTCAGTTGTTCTTGTCAACTTCTAATTTCTTAACAGCCAGAGAACTCAAACATTCTGCTTGGCATAAACCTCAATTAATGATATACTGCACTAACAGAGAGGCCTTGTATTTTACTGATTCACTGGTTTAGTCTATAGAAAGTTATTAAAAACAGGTGAGGACAGACAGCTGCTGTACACAATTCATCTGAAGAACTCCAGTGCAATGCCAAAGTATTCAAAGAAAAGCACCAAAAGACAGTAATTCTGTTCAAAACTGATTTTCATCTATTTTATGAATATATGCTTACTGAGTTTTAGGTTTTGGACTTTTTTTTCTGCAACTCTCATCAGAAACTGACGTAGATTTTAAACAGACGTGCTTATCTGAGTCACATATTTAACAGCAGTACTGAGAACATATCCCAAAATTTAGTATGTTTGAAAATGGGTCACTGACTGTAATGCCTTTCTTAATTACTGGATTCACCACACAGCCTTTTGAAACAGCTCTTGTATAAGACCAGGGTGTTGAAATAACAAGTATTTTCTCTACCAGTTTTTGTGACAAATGTTTGGTGGTATTAGTGCATTAATTAGAATCCAAGCATATTCCCAGTCTTTTTCTGAATAAACAGGCAGCTGGTTGTGCACAGGTTGGTCTCTGCACAGAAATCCACAGCTGTATGGCAAAACAAGAAAGCATACAGCTTTTATTGGAGGGAACATAAGTATCAATTCAAATTGAAAAAACAAACAGCGATCTGGACTATCGCTGCTTAAGAAAACATGAGCTCAATAGATGCCTTATAAAACCAACATTCTTCTTGCTTAAACACCCAAACATCAACATTAGTTACAAGCTTGATGAGAATGAAAAAAACTCTCCTGAGCTACACTAACAAATTCAAGTATTTTTCTTTTCATGCTGCACTGAGTGTATTATTTGGTTCTCTTAAACTCTAAATTGAAAAAAGTGAGAGCATTTTTTTCTTCCATAAAATACTGCCAGCATATGCTATTCATCATGAAAAAGTTAGTTTCAAAAAAACAAGATTCAATTATGACATGAAGATTGTACCAAATTCACGGATTCCACGAGTAATGTTTTCTCTATCTTGCAATGCAATAAATACTTGGTTGCATGGAATTCATTACAGTCCCAGTCTCGTATTTTTAAGGGGGACCTGTGGATTGTGAGGAGATTTTTTTTTTTTAGTGTCACGTAGGCATTTCTTTAGAGCTGGCATCTATGACAGAGAGATATAAGACCCTATCAGCATTTTCAAAACAGGGAGAATACATACTGTTAGGTCAAGGGTTATTACACAACATGTGTTTGTGCAGGACCTTCAGTCTGCTGGCTGTTTCAACAGCAAGGTGTCAGCACAACATGCTTCAGCAGTTTTACCATCTGCTTAACAGACAGCATTTAGAAATGACACTGAGGTTATTTTCACTAACTCTCTCTCTCACTTCCAAAGATATTTTCAGACAACTGCTTATCTAAAGACCAGAGTAAAAACATCATCTGTTTCTCCATTTATAGCTTACACATTTTATATGGCACCAAAATCTTACCATTTCCTTAAAAGTTCATATTTAGTTTACAGTACTTTTACAAGAATATTCATATATCAGTCCACTCAATGTGTGCTGCCTTGTCCTTAAAAGTTTATTAACAATGAAATTTAAGATAGTTTTTTTTTTCCCCACACAGTTCACAGGAAGGCAAATTGTCTAATATAACCAAAGCATACTTCAGAACAACATAAACAGAGAATATGTCAAAAGTTATTAATGCATTGATTTTATTCATCAGAACTTTGAGTTCCTTTGGTTTGATGTATGCATGTGTCAAACAAGCTACCATATAAAAAACAGATACATTACATTTTATGAAAAGTCAAAAGCCAATCCAGACTTGCTCTCCTGTGTTAAATCTGCCAATATTCACCACAAAAAAAATTAGAAAACAGTACCAAATATTTAATTAGGTACTATTTCAACAAGTCATTTCTGACATCAAATCAGTTATCTTCATAATAGTATGAAAACATAAAACTCTTGCATCTGTTTGTGAAAGCTCTTTTGCCATATCTTAAGACTTCAAAGAAAGTTTGAAAAACACTCTTGTAGTAACAATTCCAGGCGCACTTTCACCTTCTCCATTTAACACTATAAAGCTTAAAACACAGAAATGTCAAACTCTATCAAATGTTAAAACTGCATGTGTAATTTGCTCCCAGAAGTAACAACATAT